CCCCCCACCTCCCTTGTCCCCTCCTCTGGGCTTTTGACTCTTTCTGCAGCCTTTTTACTGCTACTAATTGGACTCCTTCTTACTGCTGTCTTTTAGCCAGACCCCTGATATTCTGGTAGGAGAGATCTACATCTAGCCTTCTCGGACAAGGGCGAACAATCTCCTAGGTCCCGTATGCACGTTGCGTACGTTAAAGATCCCTTGGTGGTTTTAAAATCGATAAGAGTAGGCTTCGGCCGCCACCCGAGCAAAATTCAAAATTTCGAAACCAGCTGAAAATGTTTGGTGTGTCCTGCGGCTCATATGACCTTATGCAGTTGCGAGGGCCGTAAAACACTTATTTTAACATAGAGATATCATATCTAGATTCTAGAGACAGTGCTGAAAGGGCGAGTAATATTATAATATTAATAATTTATCCGAAACGAAACTCCACGACTAGCAAATTGTCTTTCATCTCTATTTTATTTTAAAAAGACTATCCGCCCCTCCCCCTCCCCTTTCCCTCTCTCCATTCCCGACTCTCTCTCTCTCTCTCTCTCACACACACACACACACACACACACACACACACACACACACACACACACACACACACACACACACACACACATTTATTCTCTCCTCCTTCCCCTTCCGCCTCGACTAAACCTGTACAAAAACTTATTATTGGCCATCTGTCCCAACTTCTGCAAAACAACAGCTATATTGTGTGTATGCACAGAGCGCGCGCTGAACACTAAAGTGCTGATCTACCTTTTAGATTATGCATTTACGATTCCTCTCCTCCATCTCTCTCTCTCTCTCTCTCTCTCTCTTTCTCTCTTTCTCTCCCTCCCCCTCTCTCCCTCCCTCTATCTCTCTCTCTCCCTATCTCTCTCTCTCTCTCCCGCTCCCCCCTCCCTTTAATTCCCTCACTCTTTCAATCCCCCACTCCCCACCCATTTCCCTTCTTTGTACCATAACACGTATTCTAATATAGGTCAATGTGAAGGCAGACAATATTTTTGCACCACACCATAACCCCCT